AACATTTGAACTATCCAAATGTAAACATTTGAACTATACATGGAACTATCCATACTTTGGGGGTCTATGACAGTTTCCCCCAACCTGCGTACATGCTCTGTATAATGTTTTGACCAGCCCTGATGGCACTGAAGTTTGGGAAGATTCTGGGCAGCTTCCAGCACATATAAAAACATTTAAAAATGTCAAACATTTAAAACTTCCCAATACAGGGCTTCCTTCAGGTGTCTTCTAAAAGTTCTGTAGTTTTTTTATCTCTTTGACATCTGGTGGGAGGGTGTCCCACAAGGCAGTATCTACTACAGAGAAGGCCCTTTGCCTGGTTCCCCATAACTTCACTTCTTGCAGTGAGGAAGCCACCAGAAGACCCTCGGAGGTGGACCTCAGTGTCTGGACTGCACAATGGGGGTGGAGACGCTCCTTCAGGTATACAAGGCCAAGGCCGTTCAGGGCTTTAAATGTCAGCACCAACACTTTGAATTGTGCTCGGAAACGTACTGGGAGTTGGACTAGAATTCCCATCAGTCCCAATCAGCATGGCCAATGGTAGGGGCTGATGGGAGTTGTATTCCAGCAACATCTGTGGAGTCACTGGGCTGGGGATGAATAAGCAACTCTGGTCCTCTTAGAACCACTTTACCTGAATGGCTTGTGTTGTCCATTCTGTTCTCATCACAGTGGAGAAATGTCTTCCAGCCAGCTGGAAGAACATAGCTCCCTGTTCTAATAATGTTAGTCAACAAAACTCAAGCCCTTTTTTATTCCTGGAGGAGCTCTAGAACTAGAAATGTCAGGTATGGTTTTTATTCAAGGCATGAGGAAATATGCAGTTCTCTGCAAGCAGACTGTAACCCCTCCCACCACATTATAATGACTTGAGCCTTGAGTTAGCTGCAGCTTCTGACACCGCAGGACAAGGCCTGTCAGGCTGGGTCAGCATTTGGCAGAGAACTCTGAAGACAAACATTTAATATTGTCAAAAGGGATAAAGGCTTCCCCTCCCCTTTCCTTTTACACATCAACATGTGCGTGTTATTTTGGAACCATTTGGAGCTTCCCCACGCACCCCACAATCTGCGTACACTCTATGATCTGTGACAAAACCAATTTTGATAGTTTCTTCCAGCCCACACAAACATCATCTGCTCATGGTATTAAAATAAAATCCTTAATGTGCTCTCTCTCTGTTTCATTTTGTAGGTCAGTCTGCTCGAGTCCTTGGATGTAGCCTAGAAGGCACGAAAGAAGAAGAAGAAGAAGAAGAAGAAGAAGAAGAAGAAGAAGAAGAAGAAGAAGAAGCCAAGAGACAAAATGGGAGAAGGCAAGAGGCGAGCAGAGCATGGAATGGGGGAAGCCTGTCGTCCTTGAAATTGGGATGAGCCTTCCTTTGAAAATATAGGAAGTGTCAAGATTTAGCCAGGTTTACACATGTCCTATATTGAAATCCTAGAATGAGCTGTAGAACAAGGTAACAGATTCCACAGCCGGCTCACCTTCCTCCACTCAAACAGCCTGCTGTGACCTCTTCAGGGAAGGGAATTCCCCCACCACCAAACCAAGGGCTGCATTATCATATAGGCAGCCTTCTAAGGGCCACAGGCCAATGGTGGGCAGAGCCAGAGGTAAAACAGGGAACCAGGCAGAGGGCCTTCTCGGAAGTGGCACCCTCCCTGTGGAACATCCTCCCATCAAATGGCAAGGAGATAAACAACTCTACAACTTTTAGAAGACATCTGAAGGCAGCCCTGTGTCGTGACCTGGCAGGACAATGGGGAGAAGGAAGAGGATCCCGGCAAGGGGTGTAGCCAGGACTGGGAAGCACTGGGGCAAGCAGGGGATGGAGAGATTGGTGTAGGGGTGACGGAGGAAGGCGGGGGGATGGGAGTCAGTGCACAGGACCCATCACCAGAACCAGAGAGGCCCCTGTCTCCACAAACACGTTGAGCTCTGAAGCATAGGTAGCTGCGGGCAGGAGGCTGAGGCCGGCAAGGCCCCACAGCCCAGCTCCCTAGCTGGCCAGGTGGAGCTCGCCAGCTCTGGGAGGAGGTGTGTGATTCCTCAGCTGGAGTAGGCTTGGAACAGGTGAGGGTCACCTGCCTCATCAAGCCCAGGTGCTGCAATCAGCAGGCAAAGTACAAAAGGGGAGCAAAACTGAGGTGCTAGGTCTCCTCAGTTGCCCATGTTGATAGACTTCAGCTTGGGTGTTCCAGGATCTCTGCGGGACTTGGGTCTTTCAACACATGGATTGACCCTAGACTTGACATGCTCACTTGCTGCCAGGTAGGCCAGGGGTTCAGAACACCCTGTATCGGGAGGTTTTTAATGTTTGATGTTGTATTGTGGTTTTTTTATATGTGTTGGGAGCTGTCCAGAGTGTATGGGGCAATCCAGCCAGATGGTTGGGGTATTAATAATATAATTATAATTATTTTATTTATTATAATTAGTGGGTAAAGCAAGAAATGCAAGTTTTACCATTGCACAGTAGGGTAGTTTCTGCACATGCTCCCACAGTCCCACAGTGTGGTGTAGTGGTTAAGAGCGGTAGTCTCGTAATCTGGGGAACCAGGTTCGCATCTCTGCTCCTCCACATGCAACTGCTGGGTGACCTTGGGCTAGTCACACTTCTTTGAAGTCTCTCAGCCTCACTAACCTCACAGAGTGTTTGTTGTGGGGGAGGAAGGGAAAGGAGAATGTTAGCCGCTTTGAGGCTCCTGAAGGGAAGTGAAAGGCGGGATATCAAATCCAAACTCCTCTTCTTCTTCTTCTTCTTTTTTCTCTTGCTTGTCTGGAAGGAGGAAAGAAGAAGAAGGAGTTCAAGGATACATTTGAGCCAGGGAACAATGTGCCAGAAGGGTATGGCATAGAACTGGTGAGGGGTGTGGCTTGGGGAAAGGGGCAGAGCAGAGGGTGGGGGCTGGAAAGAGCCTTAGGTTCTCCATCCCTGCCTTAGGGTATGTCCCCAAATTCCCACTTTTAAGAAAAGAAATGGGTTACAAATTGTAACTGCTGGATCCACCTTCAACCCAACTCCTGTGGAAGAGTTTCTCCAGGAATCTGTGCATAGGAAGCAATGAGAAAATACAAGACTGATTCCTATTTGTCGAGACAGCCCTAAAAATGAAAAGACAACACCCATAAAACCAAGTTTGGGATGTGGGTGTATACATGCATCTGAATTTCCCTTCTCTCATATTTTCACAGGAGGTTGGTGTTATTTAGTTTGAATAAACTGAAATGATGAATTTCCTCTGGGGAACACGCCAGCCTTAAGACGATTTTGGCCTCATTTTTCTTTTCCTTTTTTTATCATGTGTATTGTAATAGGAAAACATTTGCTTCTGCCCTGGAGAGCTGCAATTTATCTTCAGACAGGGAAATGACAAGAGATTTTGAGGATGGGGGGGAAAGAAGGAGATGGTTAAAAAAAAAATAGATGTGAGTTATCAGGAGCTGCCTTATACTGAGTCAGACCATCTGTCTGGGGTGGCAGGCAAACATCTCTCCCATCCCAGCCTGCTTTCAAATGGAAACTTGGGCGGGGGTCTATACTCTGAGGATCTGCTCTGCAGCTGAACAAACTCTATGGCTCCTTCTCCATCCCCAAGGATGGATGGCCTTTATCAAGTAGCTCTAGAGGGGACCTTCACAGCACAAATGGAGATCAATGGAAATGAGCACAGCCGACATCTAACCAGTCATAGATCAGAGAGCCCATGCAAACCAACACGTCATCTTTTGTCCTGTCCTTACCAGAGAAAGGACAGGCACCCTGAATATTTTCATTTTCTTTCTTATTGCATTTGTATCCCACCTTTCACCCAAGCAGGTCAAGGCTGGTTTAAATGGTTCTCCACATATATACCTTCAAAACAACCCTGTGAGGTAGCCTAGGCCGAGACCAAAGATTGCCTAGTGGGAACTTGAACCCTGGCCTCCAGGGTCCTAGTCCAACACTCTAAACACTACAGCACACTGGCTGTCCATCTTTCTCCTGTCTCATCTTCTTGAAGGCTTCTTTCTTCTCCCTGCCCTTTAACCGCAACAGTAGCAGACTTCATCATGCTACTTGCTTCCCTAATGTCTCTTTTCCCATTCTGTTTCTTTAAAAGTAACCCATGTAGCAAGACCTCCCGAAAAGTGCACCACAAAGCAATGGGGAGCAGCTCTTGTGGAATAATCTGCCATGTGGCAGGAGAGGAAGATCCATAATTGATGTATAATCTCCCAAGTCCATGAAATAAATAACTAATAATAATAATAATAATAATAATAATAATTTATTTATACCCCGCCCTTCCTGGTTCAGAAAACCAGGCTCAGGGTGGCTAACAACAAATTTAAAACACTTAATTGATGCAACACAAAACAGCATAAAATACAGTATAAAACATGAATAACAATAAATTCAAAATTCAAAATTTAGGGGGCAATTTAGGGGGGAAATCCATCCAAGAAACATTAGGTGATCACCAGGGCTAGCTGGCTAAATTAGTCCTATTTGGGCCAGCGAAGAGACCAGGGGAGAATTAGCTGTGGGATCCCAGAGTGGGTAATCTTCATAAAAAGGGGAGGGGGAAGGAAGGAAGGAAGGGGAATAAAAGATCAGGCTAAGTTCAAATTGAAAGCCAGGCAGAATAGCTCTGTCTTACAGGCCCTGTGGAAGGAAGTTAAATCCTGCAGGGCCCTGGTCTCATGGGACAGAGCATTCCACCAGGTCGGAGCCATCACTGAGAAGGCCCTGGCCGTGGTGGAGGATAATCTGACTTCCTTAGGGCCCGGGACCTCTAAACTATGGATACTCATGTACCTTAAGGTCCTCTGCGGGGCATACCAGGAGAGGCGGTCCCATAAATACGAGGGCCCTAAGCCACATAGGGCTTTAAAGGTCAAAACCAGCACCTTAAACCTGACCTGGTACTCCCGGGAGCCAGTGCAACTGGTAAAGCACTGGGTGAATATGCTCCCATGGCAGGGACCCCATGAATAAATAGGGAAAGGCTCAGATGCCTCAGTGATAGAGCATCTGTTTTGCGTGCAGAAGGTCCCAGGTTCAGGCCCTGGGATTTCTAGGAAAGGCTGGGGCAGACCCCCTCCTGGATAAAGGCCTGAAGAGCTGCTGCCAGTCAGTGCTGCCAGTTATGGACTAGATAAGCCAATGATCTGGCTCAGTAAACAGTAGCTCGCTTTGTTCCTGTGAATGGGGGGAGGGGTACGTTGACCACCTCTCTAGGATGCATTTTGTGATGTGAACTGCTGAAAGGATTTGACTTGAATGTGGCAAACCATATTTAAGTGTGGGGGAAAATTCTCTTGAAGGAAATGCATTGTGTCAGGTCCTGTCTAAAAAAATACTACGTTCAGCTTGTTGTTGAAATGCATTTCTTGGTGTCATTTTTTGGCAGGTTTGTCACAAGAGGGCAACTGATTTTCATCAAAGGCCAACCAGTGACAATGTTGTTGGCTCAGCTCTGCCTTTCGAGGCGTCGAAGAGGTTCTTTCTGTTCTATTTGTGATCAATTGAGGCAGCGTTCTACATAATATCTTTAAAATATTTCTCTCTCTCCCTTCCGCTTCTTTCAATGCCTCCTCCGTCACTCTTGTAACACTGTCAAATGCATGATTTAACTAACAGAGTCGTGGATGTGAGGAGAATTTAAATATCTACCAGGAAGAAAGTTAAAACAGCATTTTAAGGTACAGCTTTAATATCGCATGAACTCTTCCGCAGATCAGAATTTTATGTTGCTACATCCCAAACCTGTATATTTATTCAGAGAAATGACACTCATTGCCATCTTGGTAAATGGATTGTCGTTTAGAAGACACATGCCTTGGATGTTTTAGGTGTGTAGATTAATAAAATAATCCCTAACCCCACAGGCTCTTTCTTCCGGATATTCAAAGTATTCTCACATGAACAGGTAGATGCGTTAGTCTTTTGCAGCAAAACCAACAAAAGGCCTCTGGTGTCTTAAAGATTCATGTAAACGATGGCATTGGCTGTTGCGGCCACAACCACTGTTTAATAGAGCTCACATTTAATTGGTGAATGTGATTGTTAACAGAAAGTTTTTTCAGGCCAGTCCTCATATCTTGTGATTGAATGTAGGAATGGTTGTCTCTGAGTGCGTTATGAATTTTGATGGCAGGGAGTCTTCTAAAGATCCCTCACTGTGAGGTAAAGCATCTCTTCCTAATGAGTTAATGGGTAATATCAATATGCACTTAGCTTTGTAGAATTGCAAGGGAAAGAAGTGTGTGGATCATGCGATGTGTTGCTTTTTATAAATCATGTGCACCACAGATACAGCTTTCCATTGTTCCGAAGGGCACACGTATCCCTAAAAAGTGTCCTATTCAATGAGGTCACATCATGCGTGGCTTGCTTGTTGTTTAAGTAAACACCTAAGTTTTTTTTTCCTAATAGGATGTTGGTTTTGTTTACGTGAGACACATACGCACATTCCCAGATCTTCTCTAAAAGGTAAAGGTAAAGGGACCCCTGACCATTAGGTCCAGTCGTGGCCGACTCAGGGGTTGCGGTGCTCATCTTGCTTTATAGGCTGAGGGAGCCGGCGTACGGCTTCCGGGTCATGTGGCCAGCATGACTAAGCCGCTTCTGGCGAACCGGAGCAGCGCACGGAAACACAGTTTACCTTCCCACCGGAGCAGTACCTATTTATCTACTTGTACTTTGGAACTGCTAAGTGGACAGGAGCTGGGACCAAGCAACGGGAGCTCACTCCGTCACAGGGATTCGAACCGCCGACCTTCTGATCAGCAGGCCCTAGGCTCTGTGGTTTAACCCACAGATGACCACAAATCCTCGCAACATCCTGTGCAACAGGGTATGGGATGGCGGTGTGGGTTTGGGCGGGATGTCCTTCATTGTTTCCCAAACTAGGGGTCTCTGCAGACTGTTGTTTTATTGTGGGTGCATCCTGCAACATATTCTTGAAAGAAGAACGGGGCCAGTGGCAGATTTGGGGCCCTCAAATTTCAGTGTCACCCTGTACAATGCTAAAATTCGGCACACGCCTCCCCCTGCCTCTCTCACTCCATTCTAAGCACCCTCTGCAGGCCACGCTTCCCTAAAACCACCTCTGATGGTGCTCTAGTGGTGTGCTTATTCTGCTTTCTTAGCTGTCCTGCCACGCTTCCTCAATGCTTTATTGCTGCCCAGAGAGTCTGTAGCACAGTAAAAGAGGGACGGAAAAACCACAGAACATCTGCAGTTATTGGATTCAGCAGAAAGTTTCAGGATATGTACTGATTGGAACTAAAACAACATGACCACTGCAACAACCTTTGAAGGCACAAATAGTATTGAAAGCAAGATCATGTACCTTGAGAACAATGCAAAGGACATCTCAAGTGCTCTCTGATTTTCATTAGCAAACGAGTCTGGAGAAGGGAAAAGAAAACCTTCACCAAAAATTCCCATCTTTCTCTCCCAAACATTCAAGGTTCTCTCTTCAAAATCCAAATCTCAGAAAGTCCCCAATTAGGTCCTGTTCAAACATGAATCTGAATTGCCAATGTGTGCGTCACCCACATAATCAAACGGTGAAGCTGCACATACATTATTATTCCTTTATAGATTTCTATCCCCCGCCCCCTTTTTTTTGTAAAGTTTCAAGGCTGCATAATAATAAAACCCCATAACAATCGCATTACATCAAAGGTTAAAAGGGCAGCATCTGCAAGTTAAATGAGTCATTTGGTACTATTTTGTCATACCTATGAATTAGCTTAATGCAGTATTCTATATAATATTTCATTGAATGGATTTGCAATCCATTATTCCAAGTTGTTCAGAATGACTAGTGCAGCACCTCTGCTTTCAGTGTGACAGAAATCTATTATGTATTTGGTACAGTGGGACTGAATGTGAACAGGGTTTTTTAACATGAAAATGAAGTTCACGTTAATTTGAGAAAGCTGTTACAATGCACTTCAAGTACACTAAAACGTTTTACTTGGAAGTGTGAATGTTATCAATGTACTTTCCAGGCAACGGAGAAAGAAACTGAAAACAAGACACATTTTAACACCCAAGTGCTATATCCTGCATCAAAAAGTGTTGTATAAAAATGCTTAATGTTGAGCCCAATCCATTTGCTAAAAGATAAACTGGACTTTGGTTCAGAATGACCTGGGAATGCAGGAAGCTGCCTCATGTCCTTCAGACTATTTGCGCAACAATGTCAGCAAGAGTGTCTTTTCCATTCATCTCCAAGGGTGGTTTTAACTGGAGATTCTGGCGACTGTACCTGGAAACTTCCTGAGCTATGGTCCCGCTGCATAAAGTAGTCTATTGTAACAATGACCCATGTGGTGCCCATGGAACCTGTGCGATTCCTAATGTGCTTAGGCTCCACATGACGCACTACTCCCTCAAGGGGTCAAGATTGCCATAATTGATGCACCAGTCATGTGCAATACTGAATTCTTCACCATAATCCATTCCAGAGGTCCATTGGTAAACTAAAACAGGTTGTAACCCAAGGTGCGCTTTCACCATTGGGGCCTCCAAAATTTTTTGTTCGTAATCCAAAAAAATGGGTTGTAATCCAAAAAAAGGTTGTAAACCGGGACACGCACTTCTGGGTTTGACGTGTTTGTAATCCAAAATGAATGCAAACCAAGACATATGCAAACCAAGGTACTGCTGTAATTGAATTTGGCAACTGTCATTATAGGTGGGAAATGGTTTCCTAACCTTTACAAAAGGGTATGATGGCTTTTTTCGTGATTGACAAGTACTTAGTGTGGGTTATGGTTGGGGGTTTTTTCCGCTTTACACCAACGTTCTAGCACAAATGAACCTGTGGAATTTTCATAGATTACAGGGCCAGCTGATAACAAAGGTCAATAAATTATTATTTTTAAATATATTTATAGGGCTGGGAGAAAGGAAAAACTTGACATTTGATGAGAGGGTATTCCAAAGGGTGGAAACTTTGTTAGGCTGTGCAAAGGAGCCATAGAGGTCCAAGTTGCCTCATAATACTATTTCTTATTCTTTCTTGTCTTGAAGTACTTATTCTGTTTGAACAAGTTTTCGGTAAGGGTTTATAGCATGCTAGGCCATGCAACATGTGTGTGGGTGAATGATTTTGAGAAGGAAATTCATTTCAGCATGATAACCGGAGATCAGAATCTAAACATATGCATGATGCATTTTTTAAAGCACAATTTTAAAGCGATATAAACTAAAGTCACTTCTGGGGCCCCTCCTGAAGCTTAAGGAACACCCTCCTGTCAGATGTCAAAGAAATAAACTATTATCTGCCTTGTAGAAGACCTCTGAAGGCAACCCTGTATAGAGAAGTTTTTAATATTTGAGGCTTTACTGTGTTTAATGATTTAATTTGTTGGAAGCCGCCCAGAGTGCCTGGGGCAACCCAGTCAGGTGGGAGACAAACAAATGCAGGCATGCTTCAATAGTTTAACAGTAGATCTGCCCCTGCTCTGGGCCTTGATGGTTGGGGTGGTGGAAAAACATGTGTTAAATGTAGTCACTAATTCAGTTCCTGATGTAATTTCGGTTTTTGCATCTAGGCTAAGGTTGAGACCTTTTCCACCCTGAAGGCCACATTCTGGGCAACGTCTAGGGACCTTGAGCCTGTGGTGGACCAGGCCAGAGGCAAAAGTGTTTTAAGCAAGAGATGTGGGTGTTACGTTTGTAGAATAGGCTAGTTTCTTCACACTCACACCTCCCTCCCTCCCTGGCCTCCAGGCAAGCAGGAAGCCTGGTCAGAGTTCAAGGACTCATTCCTGCCAGGTGAAAACACTCAAGGAGGGCGCAGAGCAGGTCTGGTGAGGGGGTGTGACCTGGGCAGAATCCCAGGGGCCATATAGAGGGACCTTGAGGGCCACACTTGGCACCCAGGCTTGAAGTTTCCCATCTCTGGTTTATGCTTCCAATTATCAGAATTTCATAAGTATATCAATATGATACCTATGCAGGGTGGGAGAATCAAAATTAGTGTACAGCTATTCATCGTCTCTTCTTCCCTTCCTGCCTCCAATCAGAACGAAGAGAAAGCAATGAAAGAACGATCAGCAGG